CATCACCTCCGCCCTCAGCCACCCCCCCCCCCCCCCCCCCAGCCGCTCAGTCTGGTGCTTTATGGGCTTTAGTGCAAAAATGTTGCTAAAAAAAAAACAATGAGTTTGTTGGGCAGTCGGCGCGCGGCTCTGAGTGTGAGCGTTGTGTTGCAGTGCGTTGCGTTGCTGTGCGTTGTGTTGCATTGCAGGCTTGTTGTGTGTGGCCCGCTCCGTTTCCACGGCGCTCAGCGGGTGTAGCTGGGCTCAGTATTTCGTCTCGGTCCCTCAAAGGCCGAGCGCCCCGGTGACGTGTTGTGCCGTGTGTAGTACAAACGATAGCTAAGTTTCAGGGCCATTTAACACCTGCCGCCATGGTCTCAGCCCCCCCCCCCCACCCCCCCAGACACTCGGCTTTTCTAACCAGGCATTTATAGGAGAACCCGGGACAGTCAGAGCCCTTTTATCAGACTCTTCACTCAAACAGAACCGCATCCTCCTCCACCTACAGCGGTTTCCCGCCCAGAGAGCTCAGCGTGACTATCTGGATTCATCACACATGCTCCGAAAATGTATTAATGCTCCCCGTATTACAGTAGGCTTCCCAGCAAAGGGGCTCTCGGGCTCCCTGGGATCCAGTAAGAAGACAGTATGCGTCTCAGAGAAACTCTGAAGCCCCTCTGCGACTTTGCCCTAAACTAATCTACCTCACAGCCCCCCCCCCCCGGGTCCCGAGCAGCTCAAACACGGGTGGCAGTCCCTCGACTGGCGGCTCTGGGGGCCTCCAGAGATGACCGCCGCGACCTGACCAGCTCCACGAAGACAAACCCCTTTACCCCTCACCTGAACTCACCCTCACTGAGCCAGAAGCACCCCCAGAAACGAAAGGCCAAAGGCCCCAAGTGGCGTCAATTAATTACACACAGACCCCACCCCCCAACCAGCGGACACAAGAGGAACGAGGCCACGACAGAGCAGTTTAACTCTGCTTTGGAGGAGAAATGTTGGCGGGAGGAAGTCTGCAACGGCACAACGCTCCAGCTGAAGAACCAAACTGGTGTCTCAGGGAAGAGAGGGTCAGCGGGTGGACTCGGGTACTCACTTCAGCACCAGCGGATGTGCAATGGAAGGACGGCCTTGCAACACAACACTCCTTCCATCCCCTTTAGGCAGGCCTCTGAATCGGTTACCTACAAATCTGTTTCATGGTTTGCGGCCCCGCAAACGCCACCGACTCGGCATTAACTAAAACTGGCTGTTCACCAGGTTTATGACAATTAATAACATAGTAATAATCAGTAGTAATCATCATTACCTACTAACTCTAATCAGCTGGTACAGTCCCATTAACTAGAGCTTGTGACAAAGCTGTGTCACTAACTTCATAAACTGCCTTCCTCTGGAGGAACGAAGAAGTTCCCCTCCAAAAAAACTGCAGGCGATGATTGTTTTTTCCTCTTTTTAAACGGCCGAAAACACAGTATCCTGTCTTAGAATGCGACATCCAGTCTCAATATGAGGGTTCAACAAGAGATCACTTTAAATGTTTTCGTCCGGCCCCCTCAAGCAGAAGTCTGTCTGGATTTACTTTTCTTGAAAATAATAATTGACCATGGCCGTCAGATGCACGGAACAGCAGGTGTTTCAGGTCAAAGTGAAAAACGAGTACTCGGACACTGGAGCTGTTGGTGTTTACGTCTCCTTTTGGGTCCGATGTACATTTTATCCATTTTTAATTTTATGGATTTACAGTAGCTTTATTAATCCCTCTTTGCTGTCTCTCCCGCCCTACAATAACCCGGCGGGCGTATCTCTGTAAGTGCTGTGAAGGCTGCTGCTGACCCTGACCTGAGTTCACCCTCCTCTGGTGGTTTCAGCCTCTCTGCCGGACTCTCCAGGATCAGCGTTAGTCTCTCACGTGCGCAGCTCTGCAACAAAACATTCGAATCAACACTCAGACACACACAGCTGAACCCACCGTGAGCCGCCGCTCTGCTTCACATTTACCGCACGCCAATGCGAGGACTTGCCGAATTGTTGCTTTTAAGCATGACTGATATTTTCGTATATTTTTTTGTTTCGTCATTATTTTTATTTTTTTCACTGTGGCTGGTTCAGAATGGGCCTCCTGTCAAACGCTCCATGCATTGAAGTTTTCTTAGAGGTTTTGGTTGTCAACAAGTTAGATTTCAATATGGACTTTATTCTCCGACTAACTCGGCTTTTTTCATGTCTGTCAAAGCAGACATGAAAAAATAAGTTGTAGAACCGATTGGAAGTGATGTGTCCTGCAGGTGGAAGACCAACCGGGACGAGCTCCTGTCAGCACCACTCCCTCAGAGCGGCCGTTTAACTCAGCGGATGAGTTGATATACATCTACTAACTCATTATGTTAACCAGACTTTTTTCTTTTTTTCCCCTTCCCTTTTGAAAGGAACTGGCCAACTAAAAAGTCATTGCTTTGTTTTTGCCTGTGTAGATATGATTTTATTTATTCTTTTTATTATACTCTGCATTCATTGTGCTGCCATGTTTTCACACCTAAGCCATTAAGATTTTTGATTAAACTGTATTTTCTTTAACATTTGATCTGTCTGCTCTCTTATGATGAATGCAGTCTTTTAAGAAAGTGTTTTTTTTCGTGTATAGGTGTAATAGTCTCCAGCCAGTCAAACGCAGTAGCTGACCTTTTAGGAGCCAGTATGACGACACGGCACTTTGACAGCAGTGGCCATCACTGCTGTGACTGAAGATGGAAAAGTTTTAAAGAGCAAGTAAATACAGTATGCTCTGATGAAGTAATAGTGAAATAGACTAGATAATTTGGAATGGAAACAAACGGGTGAAATATCCCCATCTCAGCTTGAGTAGATTAAAACAAAACAATAAAAACCCACTTAAAACACTTTAAAAAAGCAAGACTTGAGAATAGGTATGTCAAGAGGAAAAATATTATGTCCATACTTAAGTCCCACCCACACTACGTCAAACCCAACATGTAATGTGCAGGCATGGTTGTTTGTTTAATCCCAACCCTGTAAAAGGAGGCCCTAGACCCTAAAAAGCAAAAGCCTGTCCTGACAAACAAGATTTTTAATTTAAAAATATTTTGTTCAGCAGTGAACAACCTGTACTACACTTGAACACACAGTTATGGCTAAAAGAGTGTAAGTGTGACACCTCATCTTCACCTTTTGAGCACGGAGCGGAGGGCGGCTGATCTGTTCTGCAGCTTGAAATTCTTTGCACATCTGAGCAGCATTTTCTGACCTGCTTCCGTCCGCACTGGGTAACCTGAGACTCTGCTGGAGTGCTTTCCAGCTCGTGCTGACAGCGGTTTGGAGGCTGCCTCCTCGCTGTGGGACGGCACAGAGCTAACACAGTAGGACTTTACTCTGATATAAAAATAAAAAGAGGTTACTGATAGAAAAATAGGAAAAAAAACTGTTTTTTTGGGAAAACTTTTTATTTGGCATTACTTTTTTTTTTTCAAAAAAAAAAAAAAAATGCAAGCATCAAAGGGTCACATGTACAGCACTTAATTTACACACATTTATAAAAAAAGAACAGAAGGTCATTTTTAGCTTCCAAAAAAGCAGAACATTAACAAACAAATGATTTAACCCTTAAAAATAGTTGCGGACTGATGGACCCATTCACAAGTGTTTGTTGTGGATCAGCGCACACGTGCACTGATCTCGCTTCAGGATGTCCTGACGTGGAGGAAAAGAAAAAAAAACAAACAAACACTTTGCTACCGTGTTAATGTTGCAAGTCATCAGGGCAAATGCACGCTCGGAACAGAACAAATCTCACGACAACAGACAGTGAGCGGTATTCACAACTGTGGCCCTTGGAGGAGCTCAGCAGCATTTGTGCATGTTTCACATCAGCCCACTTAAACCCCGTTTGACTCAGAGGGCTGAACGGTGCGCCCTGTAGTGGCAGTTTCTCAATCTTTGGAGAGCTCAGAGGTCATTTAAAAAGACTTGAAACAAAACGATGTTCAGCGCATCGAGCAAATGTGACTGAAAATGTGAGGTGAGGTGACCTGTCTCCGTCCTGCAGCTGATGCAGGGGGGGTGTAGCTCCCTCATCGCTAGCTCTCCATCCAGCTGGAGGGTGGTGCAAGTAACAACCACTGCAGGGGACAGTGTCCTGGCTGAGTACTGCAGCCCGCCACAGCGGTCAGTGCCTCGTTGTGCTCTTCCGGAAGGTAACAGCTAAAACAATAAAACCAACGAAAATCCCTGGAGCTTGAGCCGAACATAAAACATGCAAAAATACTGGGACGCCTCCTCGAGCCGCGGCCTCTCAGTGGCAACGCAAAGGAAACGGGTTCAGTGTACGCAGAGGTGTAGAAAAAACAAAACGAAACGGGCACAGCAGATCTCTAACGGACCTCCTCAGCCTCAGAGAGTGGGAGGCTTCCTCTAACAGGTCTCCACTACGCGTATTTACAAACAGTACAACGGTGTGACAGCAGTTTGAAAAGAAGGCCGCCCAGTGTGTCTGGTTACTGATGTGATTATCCTGCCGGTCGACCTCCTGATGCTCAAACAATGGTTATTGAACAAGGGACTCGTTTTTTTTTTTTCTTTTCTTTTTACAAATATCAGTATCAAACTTGGACAGATGTCTCAGAAGTCCAAATTTGGACATGTGACATCGTGCTCTGTCTAAAATCTCACCTGGAACCATGAGGACAGATATGAACAGGAGCTGGAAGAAATGAATATCTGAGAGTCAAAATATCTTAAATAACAAAATATATATAATATATACACTATCATAAAAAAGAAGGATGGGGAACATGAAATGCCATCATGCACGCAGCGTCAGCTGAAATCTGAACACAGCTGGAAAAAAATGAAGAAAAGAAACATAATGACGAGGAAGAAGACATTCATACAAAGAGAACAGGTGCTCTGACGTAGGTGTGGATGTGTGAGTGTGTGTGGATGTGAGTGTGTATTGTGTTTTCCTGTGTAAATCGACTGAATACTGCTGAGAACAAAGCGTGGTTGTGGGGGGGGGGCGTCGGCCCAGCGGAGCGTTGACACACTCTGGTGGCTTCATGCGACCTGCTGCCCGCTGCACGTCCAGCCTTCACTGCAGGGACAGAGCAGAGCGCTGCGTCACCGTCACTGAAACACGCTGGGCTCACTTTCTGCCGCTCTGCCAGGGACACAGAACCTATTCTGCCATTTTGGGGTCGCTCCTCTGTAAAGCGGCATGACAGCTGTCTTCCTGCTCTGTACTCATGAGTTCCCAAACTTAATCAGAAGACCTGACTTGAGAAGATAAATCTGATTCACTCTACACAGATATGATGTACACATCCAAATGTGATGATTCCATCTATAAAACATGCTAAATGTCCCTTATTTGACTCCTTAACAAATAGCTACCTGCACCCACTGTCTGTTACTGCTTCCTGTAGACTTTTCTTATGTGCTTCTTCATTTTTCTCACACTGAGCATCGTCCCACCTTCCCCTGGATTTGGACTGCGGCTTCACATCTGTCAGTAGTGAGCCCAGAAGCCTCCGGCGACAGGGCCGGTCTTCGCTTCAAAACTATTCACTCACCACAACAGTTACCTGGTCATTAGCACCCTTCTTTTCTCCGTTGACGGCCTTCAGGAGCACGGCGTCCTCGTTCTTAGCGGTGGTCTTCATTTCCACGACAATGTCATCTTTGGTGGTCTTCTCTTTGGTGCTGGGGGTACAAAAGGAGAGCTGACACATGTGACGTCTGACGGAAAAAACAAGGCCTGAAGCAGAACTGAGGCATTAGTTCATATCTAATATCGCGCTGTGGTTTTCCGGGATGCTAACTGCTTGTTGAGCGTGCGCTAAATGTTGTTCTGCTATCATCTTCGGCCACATGCGGCGGCGGTACTCACATCTCCTGTTTGCCTGAGCGTCCGCAGGGGATCTTCCCCTTCTTGTGCAAGAAGTAGAGGATACTGCCCAGGAAGGCCAGCAGCAGCAGGCACAGGATGATGACCACTATGATCACCCCACTGCCCTCAGCTGCACAAACACAGACACACACATGCAAATGCTGTCAACGGCACGGCTGAATCGGGCCTCGTTGTGACAGTGTAAATACTAACAGATAGCACCCATTTCCTAGTTCAGCCTCCACATTTAACATTCTGAATGACTTCAATATGACTTGTGATTGGGCTGTGGAAACAGAGGGATCAGCGACAGAGAGTTGGAAATTACAGCGGCATGCAAATGTTTAGGCCAACCTAGTCAAAACTTCTGGTAATGTGAACAATTGCTGTAAACAAGCCATGACCTTGTGAGGCTAATTAAGGCCCCGAACCCCTTTGGCAGTAGCGGGTGCCACTTGGTATTGACTCTGTACCTAAACCTTTGTGGCTATTTTTCGCTTTTTTTAACAAAAATGTAAAAGCAGCAAATAGGGCACCGCCATGTTTCAAAGGTAAAGCGAATGTGTTATCTGTACCTCCATGTTTTTTGGAAATCTTTTTATTTTCCATTTGCTCAATTGCTCACATTAACAGAAATGTGGATCTTTTTCAAGCCTGTGTACCAAAAGCTGTGAGTTCTGACACACTGTGCAGTGGTATCTGACATTGTGTTGCTTTTGCGTTAATCACTCTCTTCTTGAATCACTGCTCCTAACTGTGTATCAAAAACATAGAAATGAGTAAAACAACAGATGTTCAGTATCTGCAACCTTTAGTAATTGAACTTGGCTGCCATGTGGCTTATTTAACTTCTTTTTCTTCTGCATTAGAAAAGTAATTAGCTGAGTGTAAAATTATGAATATTGAGTGATCATTTCATTGAGAGAGGAAGCTGCAGGACTGAAAAGTCTCATTTATTTTGCTCAGCATCTGTGAACTGTAGCCTGATATAATTTGAATAAGGTTAAAGTTAGGCGCTATCTTCACTAGCTGCTGGAGTCGCCTGGGAAAAAGCACTGTTAGGAGAAGCAACCCAAAGTTTTACATGACACACAACAACGCTGCGCAGTGGTGCTATCGGATTAAAGCAGACTATAACATCTTCACATCTGATTATCACATTCAACCCTCCAAATTGTAACCAATATGAACCTACACCACTTCCTTAGCTTTATGACCACAGCTTCCGTTTTCAGATACTTTTTTTATCGCAGTACGTTTTTCTGAGAACCACCTTCCTGATATTTCCTTCTCATCTGTTGCCATGTTGGCTAAAATAAAAATCACCATGTTCTGCACGCACCCTGCGGATGGCGTGAGGTTGTAGGAGCGAGAGTACAGAGGATGAACCGTGAAACCAAGAAATGGTGGAAAGGAAGGCAGAAAAGGCACAGAATGAGGTTCATCACGAAGCAGACAGTTCGCAGTGGTGCAGTCGGAGTTAGCAACCGCCAGATGAGACATAAAGGGAAGTAGCTGACACACAAGAAGGATGACAACCAAGCTTGTTTTCTGAACACTGAATTACTAAAATACCATCTCCATCGTCACAAAATAATAATAAACAAAAAAAACTTTATTCCTCCAGACATTAAATGTCTTTTGTGTTGACTCTGTCTGTGGATCCAGAAAAAGTCTAAGATAAAACATATCTATAGATCTTAGTTATATGAACATATTAAATTTCAAATAAAATTTTAACTTCCAAAAAAAAAAGAAAAAGAAAACAAATCTATAAACTAATAATCTTTTCTGTGAGCACTGCTTGACTTGAGACACACTTAATTCTTCCCCACACTTTGGTACTGCTTTCCAAAGCTGTTTTTCCTCAGGGATTATCCAACACCAGATTCCTCCAAAGAAATTCCTGGATTACTGTTTAAATTTGCTGAATCTGTAAAAAGTGGGACGCACACTAAAAACCTTATCTTATGGCGCTCAGTGGCGGTGATGTAATTCACTCTGACTGCAGCAGCTTATAAACTCAGAAAACAATTAAGAGGGGCAATAAAAAGTATTTCTTGGGCACGTTCGACTCTAGATGTGCTGCACAATGTTTCCTTTGCTGTTGTTTTTGTGTGCGTTTGTGTGGTCCCCGGAGGGTTGTGAACATTTAACAGCATGAGGTGATCGCTCAGATAAAGTCAGAGCAATGCCCCATAATGAGGCCTCTCTGCATGATTAACTGCAAATTGTCCTGGCAAGTAAAAAACGGTTATAAATCAAGATGAGTGTCTGGAAAAATCTGTTCGAATGCATCAGGGTTCGTTTTTAATGCGACTCGTTTTTGTTTGCTTTAGCGTTTCTGGGATAAACAAACAGCAGCAGCAGCAGTGTGTCTGGTCTGAGTATCGTCATTTTTGATGGTGCATTCCCAAATGTGCTGGCCTTAAGATTTCTTCCCTCTAAATCAAACGGAATATTTAATATGCCCATGGGCCATCCCAAAGATCTGCCAACTAACCAAAAAACAGTCCTGGGGTAGAATGTATGTAAATAATGTATGTGCTCTTCCAACCCTTCATTGTCACACACAGATTTTAGTGAAAAGTGTTCAGACAGAGAGAGAAGACAATCTTTGAGCGGGACTGAAAGTCTGACACAAAAAGAGGCTGGAGAGTAATCGTCTTACCAGGAGAGAATGGAGCAGTTGTGGTGACCCTGGGAACTGTGAACAAGTAGAACAACACTTAGCGTGGGTGGCTGTCCAAGTCCACCGACATCAACCCAAGACACACACATTCAGGTTGAATTTTATATCAGCTGCTTATTAATTCCATGTTTCTATGGAGGTGTGAGGGAAGCAGAGCTCCACATCTTTAACCTCCTTTGAAACAGAATCCCTATCAACCCCAAATAACACTGGCTTCTTATACTCATTGCAAACAAAATATTAGAATCCAATCCATCCAAACCAAAGAGGATCAAATTGACTGTTTGGAATTGAAAACAGAAAAAAAGTTTTCATTCATCTTAAAAAGGATCTCAGAATCTATTATTCGACGACAACATTATGATGTTTCTTTATCATCAACAATATATCATTTTTGTCTTTTATTATGGAAAACTCTACATTGAGTCACCATAACACGCAACCCCACTCTCTTGGGTTATGATAAAACATTGGAGAGTCACTAAAGTACTTTTTAATAGCCTTAATGAAAGATGACAGGAATGCTATAGATACAGTTACTGGCTAATAGGAAGGAGTGCTGCCGTGTTAGTTTGTGGCTATATTTCCTTCTGCTTTCTTATGTGAAGAATTTTTCAGTTGAACCCAATCCAATCTAATCCAGCATTATTTATAAAGCATTTAACATACCAAAAGGAACAGCGCGCTGTAAAAAATACATAAAAAGCTAAGATATTCAGCAGAACAGAACTGAGAAAACTATGGGTTTTCTATCACTGATTCCCCTGATTGACATCAGTAAATTAGAATCATAGTGTGACAAAGTCAGCTGACCTCTCATTTTCAGTGGATTTCTAATTTAAAATATCAGATGTACTAAGAGCTGGTGGCGTTATCGCAATTTTTTCTAATGTGTTCACGAGTATGTTCACTCTTATTGCATTGTTGTTTTATTACACTGTCAGATGTATTACATTGTATTACACTGTTTATCTTTGGAGTGTTGACTTTCTGTACGGTATGTCAAAGGTATTCACTTTTGAGAGCTCATGAGAACAAAGCCTCTGTCAGCTTTGAAAGGAGGGTATTACATGGTGGATGACACAATCTCAAAGCCCATAACCAACGTGTGTGCAGAGGACCGTTGCAGATGATTTAATGAAGGGAAATTCACTGTTTGACTCCTTTTTCCAACTATGAATACAGTTTTTCTTTGTGTTTTTCAAAGACAAAAGTGGATTGACACCTCAAACATAAAGGCAAAACGATCAATTCAAGAAAGGTTAGAATGCTGTGTACAAGGCTTAGTATTACAAATTAGAATCAGAGAAGAATGATTTGTAAATTTCTTAAATCATTATTTGATTGCCAATAGAACACAGATAATACGTTTTACTGAATAATGATTTTGATTTTCACATTAGTGACACATCTCAAAAGTGTTGGGATAGGGACAGATGTACCTCTGTTCTTAAAACATCAGTCTGTAAGCATCTTGAACTGAGGAGACCAGTAGTTAGACCTTAGGAAAGGGACGTCCCATTCCCTGCATTGCTGGAGCCTTTCAAGATTTTTCAATCTTTCATCTTCAAGATTAGTTAATATTTTTCACGAAATAGCGAATTGTCTCACTATAAGTCTCCCCCAATAGTTTGGGTCATACCATTTGACATTGAAACCTGTGCAGGAAAATCCTATGATAACAGTCAACCAGAAGATGCAATTCAGGAACCAATGTGAGAACAGTTTCAAGATGTTCTTTATCTTAGGCTTTAAAAGCAATTTGTGCATCCTTGTGATTTTCCAGAAAAGTCATGTAACTACAGAATAAAGAGCTAATGGTTGATAAATACAGCAGATGACACCTATTTTCAACAAAATGTTACTTATCTGGATACATGCATATTTCAACGTGAGCAGATTTTTCTGGAATTGAAGAGAGGCTCTTACTGGCTTTGATGCTGAAAGCCTTGACGTCGGTGCCCATGTCGTTGGAAGCGTTGCACAGAGCGCTGATGTCTGAGGTGACTTTGACAGACACCACGCTGTGAGTCAGGTCGTTGTTGGCTTTGCTTAACACTTCTTGCCAGTTCTGTGGAGAAGCACAGACACACAGTGTTTGTGTGTGGCATTTCACGCACATTTAACTTTCTACAACTGGAACCCTGACTATTATACAATCTATTAGTTCTTAATAAATCACACTGACCTCTCACCAGGCAACAGGTATGATTTGTTGTTATGGCTGTACTTAAGTACTTAACAATCTATGGCATGGTGTTGCCTTAGGCAACAAATGACATATCTAGACATTACACTACCGTTTTAGGAGGAAAGAAGAAGAAGTATTACAAACAGAGAACAAATGCTCATTTCAGATGTATGTTCAGTGATTGTTTGAATGCTAAATGAGGTCCTGGGTAAAAGTGGATGTGTACAGCTGTTTATTTTGTCAAAATAAAATAATTGTGTCAAACTATTCTGTTAGAATTCATCCTGTAGTTTTGATAATTCATATGACCTGTATTTGCTGTCATTAGTTTGAGTTCTCCCTGAGGGATTAGTTTTTTTTTTCTTTTAATTGATTGTTTTTTTTCCCTTGTGTTTTTTTACTCTGAATTTGTCCTTTTCTCATATTGGACTTTCTAAGCTGTTTTCTTAGTGCCATGTGCCATGCAACAGAGGGTTATTTGCATCCAAAGTTTCCATTGATAAAATCTAAATTATTCCCAGACTTCACTTGATGGTGCACTGTAATCATTGCAATTTATATCATTTTTTGCTGCTCTAACAATAAAAATCTGTTTATGTTTCCAGACCAAAACACAATTGTAGCACTTTAAATTCTAAATTTGAACAATTTACAGGTCAGTGTTAAATTCCTTAAGAAAAAGTTGACATGAGGTGCCGGCTCCGATAAAGAAATAAGAAATGCCTCAATATTGGCATTGGTATAACACGTCAGGATGGCGTGATAAATTGCTGTTGAACAAAATGGATACCTGACTGCCGATGATGTTCCAGGAGATGCTGGGCAGTGGATGCCCCTGAGCCTCACAGCTCAGGTTCACCAGCCTGCCCGATGCCTCCTCCAACACCTCCTGCTGCATGCCCACCATTTGGGGACCACCTAGGAGAGCATAGGCAGAGGTAGATTTTATTATCCCTCAGAAACAAAGCTGTTCCCTGATCTGCAGCTGCTTCCCTTTGAAGCTGAAGACCATTCATCCTCACCTGTACTCTAACAACAGTGCAGCCATGTCATAACGATTCCCTTTTAATTAAATACTAATCCATTATTTTTCAACTAAACAGGATTTTGGCTGCTGTCAGTGGGACACAAATTATCTTACCCACATGTTTCACATTAAAAACTGTATGGTGACCTCACAGTGCAAAGTTCCACTATCCTGGAAACCCAAAGCACACAATCAAAGAAAGTATCTTATTTTCCACACACAGGTTGTTTTTCACCTGACTGACGTTTGTCGTAACTGATTCAAATTTGCCACAGCATTGAGACCTATCCAGAAAAAATATATGAATTTCCTTCACTCTCTAAAGCTTTCAAACTCAACACGAAAAGCTTTGAAAAGATTCTATCTGTTTCTTCTTGTTTTTACTCCCTGTGTACCACTATGTGATGGAAACATGGGCCAACTGGTGCCACTGACCTTGGACGATGATGTGAACAGAGCCGCTGGTGTGCAGGCTTGGCAGGGAGGGAACAGTCACCTCACATATGTATTCTCCACTTGTTTCATAGGTGGCATCCCTCAAGTGCAGAGTGTTCCCCTGACCCACCTGCTTCCCATCCTTTACACAACCGCCACAAACATGGAAACACGTTAGAACACTGAACGAGAATAAGGCTGTTGGCAATGTCAATGGCCAACTTTCAGACATTGTATTGAACTGAATTAAAAAATGGGACACATACCTTGTACCAGATGGTGGATGTTTTGAGGGAGGACAGAGCATTGCAAGTTGCAGTTAGATCTTCTCCTCTGAGCATAACCTCTGTGTCTTTTGGCACCACAACCGCTGGGTCCAAATCTGAAATTTCGACAAAACAAAAATATTGCTGAGTTTGCTATGATCCATCTGGGCCCTCCATCTTGGAATAAATTCTGTGTGATTAAATAACTCTGTCAAACACATTTCTGTGACAGAGTTATAACACAGATAAGCTGGAAAGTGCTGTGGTTAGAGAAGAGCTGTGTGTGTACTGTGCGTGGTTCCTCACAATGAACAGTGAGTTGCATATCTCCCTTCACATCGGCTTGGCCATCAGCATCCAGAGGTCGGCACTGGTAGACGCCGTTGTCTTTACGGGACACTGGTGACAGGATCAGTACATCACCCCTGCTCTCCAAATCCACATCCAAGTCCTGCAACAGACACTCTCCCGTTAGACTTACACTAGATACAGCTCACTGTATCACTACATTTAACAAGAGCTAACAGTTTGCATTATTTACATTTTCTATTCATTGAATTGGCCAACATTAACCGGAATCTGGAAATAAAGCTGAAAAGATTTATGCTTCAATCCATTTAGGCAGCTAAAAACCACGGTCAGTCACAAAGAATAAACATGAAATGTACAAAATGTCTGCTGCAGCAGAGCTAAGGTGAATATGCTTACTATGAACCAAAACAAAGAACAGGCCTCAAAGAGTGAAAAGGTTCCTCCCACTCATGTCAATCAAAAGGCTACAGGGTGGTAAAAAATTATGGTTTGAAACTCAGCCGGGCATTTCTGTGTAGAGTCATGTTCTGATTGGGTACCCTGGCCTCCTCCTGCCATCCAAAATCATGTGTGTTAAGTTAATTGGGGGTTCTAAATTGAGTGTGTCTGGTTATTTTTGTCTGTGTGGCCCTGTGATGGAGCCACAAACAAGGCAGGCTGTATCCTACCTCTCCCACAGCTGGGACAGGCTCCAGCCCCCTGTGACCCTGAATTAGACAACGTGGGAACAGAAAACGGATGTACAGTGCAGCAACTTGATTGTCTAGAGTAGCGTACCTTATAAGTAACAAATGATTGATTATATTTTAATGTTTGATTGTTTTTGCTGTACAACCACCAAATCAGATGTAGAACTCCTCCGTGTTTCATTTACCAAACATGTCTGCTCATGTGTAATGAGCTTCACACACTTAAAGCTTTTATGGTTATTTTGTCTGTTTAGAACAGTTAGTGGCCCAGTTACTGTGTCCATAAACAGTGTCATGGCACTGTTTATGGGAAAATATAATGCCATTACACATGGGATCGTGGTTTAATGTACTTTGACAAAAGTTTCATATTTTCTAAGAAAATGCTCTATTTCCCTTTATAGTCTTAAGTGGCAAATAAATGCTCCAAAAACTGCTCATGGCTACTACAATGTCTGCGGCAGCTCAATTAGGAAAAGTCCAGAAAGCAGTTGGCTGGGTTTTTGTGTTATCCCCACACACAATTGTATGTCTGAGTGTGTCTGACATGGGAATGAGTCTGAGCCATGAGCCTCGTCAAAGTGACCTCAGGTCTAAGACCCCAGTTTGGATCTGCAGGGTCAGGGCTGACAGAGTCTTCATACAGCCTGCACACTCATGGTTTCATGGGGCCCTGTAGGCCCTGCATCTCAAAAACATTCCCTACATGTCTCTTGCGTGTCACCCATTCTCTCTCAGGGACTTGTAGGGTGAGAAAAGGCCCTCCATTCTTACTTGTTCTCTGTTGAAAATGAATGGTGACGGGGGGTTGCCATCACCCTGGCAACGTAGCTCCACAGTATCCCCCTCTTTGACCAAGCCCTGGGGTGACTCCTTCCACAGTTCCACCATGGTGGTGGGGTCTGCCCACACAGACAGATATACACACACACACACACACACACAGACACAAACCCACGCACGCACACACAATCAAATTAAGATGGATACTCAGTGAGCTGTTAAAGTCACTTTACAAGGTAATTTCCATAATGCTGACAGAACAGACTGTGGATCCATATTGAACTGCTCCCAACAACTACGAAGCCAACAAGATGATGAGGTTGTACAAGTTCTTGTGGGCAATAGGAAATAAAGTTAAACTACTTACAATCAACTAAAAGAAGCAACCTTTTTAAAATGTCTTCCACTTTGTCTTGGTAATACTTTAAGTTAGGGAATAAAACATACTAATGGTAGTAAATGCCTCCTATTTGTTTTTAATGCTTCTAGAGTAGAGTACTTCTAGAGAAACTAAACATAGCTATCTATTTTCCAAGTATTTCTCATAAGAGGGAGCTGAAAATTATGTGTACTGATGTCAAGTGGCTCTTTAAATATCTGGAAAAAACCCATAGAGATACCAGGATTAAATGATGATGACCTTAAGTCAGAGGTGAGCAAACCAACACGATTTGATAAAAAATATCCTCCCCAGCATAAAGTAATATGAGCCCCTGGACCTTCCTCTCCACTGTGTACGCTTCAGTTATTCATATCTTATCACCAGCAGAGTTTCCATCGTGGGCGTTTTATGAATATTCCACAGTGTGCAAGTTCAATCACATTAGCATCTGTTACAGCACCCCGTAAAAAAAAAGATTTGACTTGACTGAAGAAGAATCAGTAGACCAAAATAAGAGAAGTGCAATTCACTGCAAAGAGATAATGCATGAAAAATACATTTTAATAGACAGAAAATATCATGTCTTGTTAATTTTTGGTATATGTTCTGGTCATTTGTACATTTGTTTCCCAATTGAGATTTAAGGTTTTGTCTTCATGTGCTTTTATTGTGTTTCCAGGGTCTTAGTTAGAGTTCCCTCAGTTCCTTCCCCTGCTATGTCTTATTCAGGTGTCTTTCTGCCGTTTTCTGTGTTTCCTTGTGTCTCTGCCACTTTCATTCTTGTCCTTCAATTTCCTTGGCTTCCCTCAACAGTTCAACTCCTTGCACCTGTACTTTCTCACCAGCTCTTCGTTCGCTCCCTTCTATATACTGTATACTTCTCAGTCCTTTCATTCAATGTCTGGTCTATGTTACCTAGCCTTACTTGTATTTCCCCAGTGGTTTAAGCTATTTTAGGTTTGGTTTCAAGAATTCTCACCAGGTTTCAGGCTTTTGGTCCAGGTTTAGTTGTAGTTTTTTCAGCCCTGCCATGCCTCTTGTCTGTTTTATAATAAATACATTTATTTTTAATAATATATTTTTTTGTTTCTCCTTTGTTTTCCCCCTGGCCTGCTCTTGGAACCTTGTGAAAGAAACTAAACTAAGTAAAGCAAAAAGACCACAAAGGTATTCTTTGCTATTTGATATGAAACTTTGTAAAAAAAAAAAAATGTAAAAGTCCAACAATATGAATAACTCAAATTCCCAACAGAAAATATACTAATTACAGACTTTTAACATACAGTACAGTATGAATACTCAAAGTTCACTAAACATATTCATAATTTCAGATTAAGATGTCATTTTTATTCAGGAGGCAACTAAGATTGTTGATTTGCTGCTTCAATTAAAAGAAGCACTGGAGAGAGAAAAGGAATTAGGAATTAGGAGAAGAGGGTAATTTCCTGATTATATTGTTCCATGACTGCACACTTCTTTAATAAAGTAACTACAGAGTGCCAAGTACAACAAAAAGAGGAAATCGAAAAGAATTTGCCAGTAGTAGCTTTTACCTCATGTTTTCACTTCGTCACACGAGGAACGGACTGAACAAATTAAGCTGTTCCACAGTTGCAGCAAATGTGCCGCCAACATTCACAGACAGTCGCTGCCAGAAACTGGTAGTTGTTAAATGGTTTAACGCTCTAACACTGGCTAACATGACAGCAGAATAAAAAAGCCCAGTGTTAACTCACAGTGAACTGTAACGTTGATGCTTTGGGACTCTGTTGTCCTGATGGCTCCTGGAACAAAAAAGCTGACCTCACAGGAGAAATGGGAGTCCTTGTCCTCCTTTACCACTTTGTAGTCCAGCGTGCTCTGGACAGAGTAGAAACCGCTGGACTCTCGGGTCACCAGGATCAGCACATTTACATCTATAAAATGGACAGACAAAATATACCAGATATGTACAGACAACCACCAATACTGGTCCAACACTAAACACACTATCTAGTATATAATTATCTGACCTGAGCAAGGTTTTTAATGCTCCCTATAATCATATTGTAAATTATGAGGCCTTCCTCTGTGCTTCTTTAGAGGTGAAACAGGTCACAAAACTTTCCATTCTCTTTCAAACTTCATTAACAAGGTCTCAAATAGTGCCTTCATTTTTTACCTTCATTCAACTGATTTCAGCCCTATTTGCAAAAGCAAAGGATTGAACATGAGTCTGAGCATGAGTCTAAGGGGAAAAAAGCAATGTGAACTGATTTTAAAGGTAGCTGGCCAGTGAGATATTTGAGCCTCTAAGAAAGAGATGCATCAACTAAAAAACTGCCAGGTGCCAAAACAGTCATCTGAACCTGATTTGAACCATTTAGTACTCTTATAGGCATAATTTTCATCTATTACATGCAGCAGCAGTAAGGCACCACAAACTGATGAGTCACTTGTGGTCAGAAAGGATGCCCCTATGCCACTGCTGCATCACTGTTGATTTCTGGAATTAAATTTGTTTTTGTTTTAAAAGTCAGAGCGCAATCGAAACACTATTGAAAATCCCCAAAGATGAAAAGGGGCCCATGCTTACATCCTGGTGTGGTTGTCAGTGGCAGGCCGTCTCTGTACCAGGTGATGTTGGGTTTAGGGAAGCCATTTCGAGCCTCACATGATGCCACCTGGGAGGAGAGACACATTGACAGTAAAATTAAAAACAATCGATCTCAGCATGTTAATACCAAAGCTAATTCTGTTTTTTGTTTTTTTTAGCAGTCCCTTTTTTTTAGTAGATCAAGTTGACTCACCTTAGAAAGTGTTTCTTTTGTCACAGATATTCCAGAATGGACACCCTCGATGATGGGAGCCTCTGGAGGAGCTGAATAGGCAGAACATTTGTTTCATAATTTCCTAATTAGATCATGATTCTTGAAATGACTTCAAACTTTTGCAAGAATGTTTCCAGTGGGCTGGCTTACCGAACACTCTGAGGTGGGTCTTGCGTTCAGCCGTGCCAGCAGCCAGCCCATTGACTTGGCAGAAGAATTCCCTCTCATCAGACAGCTGGACATTATGAACAATGAGCCGTGTTCCTTGCTCATCTGAAGTCACTTCAATGCGGCTGCTGTAGTCTGTGTTGTTATCAACTATCTGCTGACTGCTGTCGGCATAGAAGATCCGCATCCGCGAGCTGTTCCCTGCAGCTCTCTGTAGGACAGGCAGGACACAAGTCAGTCAACTGGGAATATCGCCGCCTTTCTGTGCAGATTACTCAGTAGGGTTTGGATGTCACTTTTGTTGACCTGACATCATACAATCTGATTCAGGGCACAGTTTCAAAATTGTTCTACTGTGGCAGAAAAACCGATACCCCATGACAGTAACAAAAGCTCATACACAAATTGTTCATTTCAGACGGTTTGGTTGTCCAGATGTACTCACCACAAACCACTGGATCATGACAAAGCTAGGCTTGTTGTCAGTGTCGGTAAAGCTGTACTGGCAGGGAATTTCAACTGAGTCACCCAAATACACCTCCAGATTATCATTCATGGTCAACTCCACCTTGCTCCACACTGAAAAAAACATAGACACACATAAATCCATAACATATCATTTGGGGTCCATGCAGAAAGACAAAATACATTTCCCCAAATCCGAATTAAATTTAACTGGTGTTCTTTTCTCCTTCAACTGTACAATTTTGACCTTCAACTTCAATTTGATGTTAAATCCATTGTGTTTGGCAGATGACTGACTGTCTTCCCGGGCCAATCTGGAGACAAGCTGCCATGTTAGCAGAACAAAGAAGAAAGGGATTCTTGTCCACATGGCAGAATTTTTAACTCCCTTTCTGCCTGGCTGACTGTAACCACAAAACCACTTTTTGGCCAGAAAATCAGTTCCCTAGGCATCATTGGGGGAATGCAGCAATAGTAAGGCTAGCCAGTTTGACACTGGGCTGTTGATTTAGGGTGCCAAGAGCTTTTTCAGCCATGTAGAACTTGGCTGCTGTTCTAGAGAGGCCCACTCTAAATGACAAATGAAAACAAGGATGGCACCAAAAAAAGACTATTTTCTCCCTTTACCCAAATGGGGTTTTGAGGATGGTCAAGTATACTCCCCATTCCTCCTACGCTCTGTGTAGTCTAACTTAATTCCTTGCATTAAGCTAGTAGGGATGTGTTCACACATATATTATCACAGGACAGAACTAAGACCAACGCCTCCTGTTTGACAAACTCACCTAAGGCTGCTACAAGCAAACCTGTTTCTTTAATTTGATCTTGTATTTCTTAGATAGATATTTCTTAAATTGAAAACATTAACATACATATCAGGCCACATCAGCTGCTATGCATTACAAGAAAAAAATGTACTACCACTACAGAAAATTCAGTCTTGGCTAAAACAAAACAGTGCAACATCCTCTCAGCCACTTTTTCTCCTTAACTGTTTAAAATATCCTAATTCAGATCTTTAGGCATCTGGAGAACCGCTGTTTTTGCGATTTAAAATTTAAGAATTTAAAACGCGTTATCATAGAAAGTGAGATGAAGCTAGTTGAAGGACACCACTTTACTGAAGAAAACATCATAAAAATCCCAAAAGATGAACAATTTGGCAGAAATAGACTTTTAAAAATCAGGCAAACCTAACCTATTAATCCAACAATTGCACAAAATTGCACTCCAGATGAAACTATCCTGTGATGTTTGTGACTCACAGCATGACTATCTTCAAAAAAGGCAACATCCATGACCATCAACACCTGTCATGTTTAAATGTGAGATGACGCACTTCTTGTTTTTTAACCTTTCTATCTGAACATGCTGGTTTTGGTTCTGGTGACCCATCACTATGAGTTTTTGTTAACGACAAAACGAAAACAGGTCTATTGTCCAGTCATTTTTGAGGTTCTGACATAAAAAATATAAAAAGACTAATATTTCAGTAAATATTTTTAATCGAAGAATGAATAAGAGGAATTTCCGCTCTGCAATAAATGAGGAATACAAAGTGAAGATTGCAGACATTGTTTTAAATAGAAGAGATGTCCTTCTCTGTGGTTCTTGAGGACATTTAACCTCTCACCCAAAAGGCGTTCTCACTTTGCTTCCCACTTCAACTGACCTGAATGACTGAGAATCTAGCCAAAAATATGGGAACTGAACCGTGTCATCCAAGTCCACCCATTGTTTTCTGTGTCCAGATGTTAATGTAGGTCATTTTAATACTACAAACTTAGAGGGAGAAAAAAAGCGCTGGTATCCCAGCTTTTGTTTTTGAAAAACAATTTTTAAAAAGAAAAGAAAAAAAAAACTTAACCAGAGTACAGCCTTGGTTTTCTCATATGTATTTACAGCATTAACAGAACCAGACGAAGCATGAAGGGATCTTTAAGAGTCCAGTTGCCACCCCGCTGCCTCCATTCAGCTGCCTACTCCCCCATCACCACCCTGTCCACCCTCCTCCTCCCCAATCATTTTCACAACTCCTTTTTTTTCCTTTCAGTCTCGCCTTTGCCTGGGCCCGTGCTCAGTCAACCATTCCTTCAAGACAACGGGCTCGCCATTGTTTCCCCACCTGGGTGGACCAGAGACCCCCCTCCCATGCGCATATACATATTCCCCATCCCAGACAGCCTTCCACTGTAAGGGTTAAAAACTGTTCAAAATGTGCAGAATTAGCTGGTTTATGGCAACAAAGATTATGTGAAATGGCTCTGAGACAAGAAGGATATTGTGGAGGCCAAAGAAAAAAATATGCCCTGGAAGTCAGTGTAAAAACTGTTGTGTCTCTTTGGGGCCATGCTGGTAACTTTTCAACTAATCCGATTAGCACTGGGGGGTTGCTGCGGATTTGGCTTCCAAAGCCGACCTGGGACCGCTCTTATCTGTTCCTGTTGTGACTTTATGCACATGGTTTACGGCACAAACACACATAACCCATGATCCATGAACTGCAGCCAGTGGTTGTGCTTTTGCATACATTTGTGTCTGTCTGCTATCTGTGTCTGCGGGATCTGAGCTACTTCACTCAGAACAATGCAGAGCTACAAATTATTAGCATGAGCTGACAGGATCAGATGTTTTATGGGAAAGGGCCACAAATGACTACCCTGCAAAGAAGAAAAAACACACAAAGGAGAGGATGCACAATTACGCTTGCAATGGCCAGCTGACTCCCTAAAATCTAGATTTATACACATGGTGTTTTCAGTCCAACTCTTGACTTTGTTCATAACTATTCTTATATTTAAGTGCAATCACTTCAACTACTTTGGAAATCTGTGGTATATTCACTCTTGTTAAGCAGTGATTCCCGTTGGCAGAATTGGTCATGTTTGCCATAGCAACAGACTGGATACTGAATCCTTTGGGTATTTCTTGATTTGAGCCCCATTCTGACTTTTTAAAGGGAAATAAAACCCTTCTAAAAGCACTCCAAACTAAACCAATACATGATCCTTGCCTTAAATTAAGAGATATTTCAAGTGTTTCTATTATGCTATGAGATACAGCTATTAACATTTATTCCATTGCTAAACGAAGTTACTCAATTCTATTATGTGGTTTGGTTAACTACTTTTAACTGGATAAATTGATAAAAAAGCAGGAAATCTCATGTTTTTTGTTTTTTAAGCACATAAAAATGTACTTGATTGTTCTTATGGACTGGTGGCCTTTCCAGGTTGTTGCCTCTCTACTAATGTTAGTTTAGATGGGAGAGGTGACAGCCGCTGAGCAGCCCTAAAATAAATACAAGGTATGGATAAATAAAATGGTTAGTTGTAGGGTTGCAGTTCCATAAATTCAGTTCTGTAGACTGAAAAAAATGGACAAAAAATCTTAAAGGGAAATACTGATAAGTCACATAAGCTCCCATTTAAAAGAGGTCAAATTCTCCTAAAATACTTTTTATATAGTCACTTTGATAGCTAAATCTCAAGCTCAAGACTTTAACAGCAATAGAAAAACGGGTGGGCCATGGCTATTTGATGCTGTGAATCATTTTGTTCATCCTCAGGTCTTACAAACATAGCCAGTCTGATTTTAAAACATATTTTTAGAAACTCCTCAGGTTCTCAGGTCCATTCCGTGCTTGCCAAGAAAAAAGGGTTATGCTTTCGGGCAATGGGAATGAATGCCCTAAAACTGCATGCTTCCAAAACTCCATTAAGATAAAATGTAATTTGAAATGTTAGTCCCTACAATCAGGTTTGACCCTTTAGGACATTTAAAGAGAAAACTGAATAAAGATGACTGACAAATACGTTTCTGTGCTTCCATTCAAAGCAAACTGACAGACTCACACGACACCTAACAATACAATTCAGCCAAAAATAATAATAAGGGGCCTACTTCCAGGAACCTTTGCAATTAGTCACTCACTATGCTCCTAACACAGAGGACAAAACCCTAAGATGCCAACTGAAGTGGTCATCATTACTGGCTTTCTCATTCCATTAAGGCTGTCAGCTTAGGCCTCCAGTAGATCTGCAGCTCGGCCACTGATAAGAGACCAAATCACCTCTGACTCCACAAACCAGCCTCATTTACTCAACCTAATCCCACACAAGCCCGGTGGGGCATGAAATGAGACTGAACGCATCTAAGAATATAAATGTGTCATCTAACAAATACTGTAGAAACCCTTATTTTGAATGGACAAGTCATGCTGACTTTCGGAGATATGAGCAGAAAATCCAAAGGCTGTTTTAATTCAACATAATGAAAATGTGGGGGGAAAAACCAGGCTGTAACTTAACTTAACTCCACATTTACTTAAGTTAACTATCTTGGTTTGCTCAAACCTGGATAGTTATGTAATGCCTTCTATTCTATAAATACACCAGGATTTCAGAATGGACAATTTCCTATAAACTCTTAATGACAGTTATGTGCTGAGGCTGAGAGTTCCTCGGAGAGTGGAGGGCGTAAAAAGCCAGCATGTAAGTGTGGATGACAGGGAGGAGGACTTCTCAATACACAACCCTGGTGTGGTGTTGAACACCTGGGGGACACTGTCTACTGGCTGACATCAAAGGGCACACACACACACACGCAGAAGGTCTACAGCCCTACAGTGAGGATGAGAGCTCCTTGTCCACCTGATGTGCTTTCAAAAGCAGCATCTGGCACAAATCCCCAGCAGCCTGTTCCCTCTGTGACGGTGAGGGTTCGAGCTTGGCCCTTTCACACAGAGAGATAAGGAAGTGCTGCAAATCTTCTCAAAGACACCTCCTTTTGCATCTTAAAGCACTCCTTTCATGCATCGGAGCACATCACAGCTTACAGTCAAGTCTTGGCCTTGAACATCCCCCATCATCAATATGAGGTGGAAAACTTGGCTCAAGACTTCCATAAAGTTCACAAACTGTGAGGGAAAATTTTGCAAGGTGGTAAAGAAAAAAATCTCTGATAATAAAAATAACTAAGGAATTATATAGATATGATATACGTCAGTGTCTTGTAGTGAATGGATAACATTACCAACCACACAGCTCACATCATCTGAGGTGGATCAAACTTTGGATTACTTACAGCCCAAAAAAAATAACATTAAAATAAAT